TGACTGTTGGTATTTTCCCCACCTCCAGTCCTTGGCTCCACCCAGACCTGAAGCTCCTCCCTGCCCAGATAGCTGGCCACTCCCATTCTCCACCCAAACCTCTCTACTAGACCAGAGCTACCACCTGAATAGGGGCAAAACCATATTGCTCCTTCTCCTGGGAAAACCATGGCCCCCTTTAATAAATCTTACAAACCTTCTGTGTGTGCCTGCCTCCGCATGGTCCCCCTGAGATGGCCAGGAAGGACACTTACAGTGGCCAGCCTGGAGGATAAGATTTGTCTCCAGGCTTTGGCTGGCACAAATGTGGGGTAGCTCACCCACAGCTTAGCATTATTTTATGTCTACTTTACAGATGGGGAAAGTGAGGTGTACAGGAAGGTCCAACTCCACATAAACAGGCTGGTTTGCCTGCTTAGGGAGTTTAAAGTACAGCCTGGAGAGGTAACAGCAGCAAACAGCTTACTCTGTGGTGTAGTGAAGGTCTCTTCTACATTAGACTGCTGGGTTATGACATCATTGTCAGACTAGAGTTGCCACCCTCTTTGGGACCTGTCCAAATAGAAGCTGAACCTCTTTGATCAATCTGTAAGGTTTCAGATTTTACTCAAGGTATTTTGTGTGTGTGTGTGTGTTGGTTCTGATAATTGAACCAGGTTGTTGTACCTTAGGCTGGTATTCTATCACTTGAGCCACATTTTCACTTCTGGCTTTTTTACTGGTTAGTCTCATAGACTTTCCCATCTAAGCTAGCTCCAAACCAGTATCCTTAGAGCTCAAACCTCCTGAATGGCTAGGACTAGAGGCATGAGCCACTAGTGCTCAGCTTTCAAGATCTATTCTTGATTTCCAAGTGTGAGTTCAAGTTAATAAATGGACCGACATGGTGATATCTAACAGAGGCTTCTCTGACAGGGGAAGCCATGAACTCAGCATCAGAAGCCTCATTTCGTTCCTACCCCAGGCCAGCTACTCCAATGGCCTCTAAGGGATGTGGGCATGGCACTCCAAGGTGCTATATCCCAATGACTGATTCTGGTTGGCTGTGCCTGGGTCAGAGGCTATTGTCTGGACCAGTGTGCCCAGGATGGAATTTGGAACTCTTTGAGGAGATGGAGGAATGAAGCAAACCAGGCAGATGCATTCCTCCTTTCCTCACTCCTACCACAGCAACAAATGGGTTCCTGACCTCTGAAAACTTGATTTCCAAAGTTCCCTGGGGCCTGCTGCCAGACAGTACAATCAAGAAGGCACCATGTGCTGGGCACATGGTGGCTCACACCTGTAATCCTAGGAGGCTGAGATCTGAGGATCATGGTTCAAAGCCAGCCCAGCAAGAAAGTCCATGAGACTCTTATCTCCAATTAACCACCAGAAAATCAGAAGTGGTGCCATGGCTCAAGTGGTAGAGCCCTCACCTTGAGCTCAGGGACAGTGCCCAGGCCTCTAGTTCAAGCCCCATGACCGACCAAAAAAAAAGAAAGAAAGAAAAGGCACCATTTTCCAGGTCACTTGAGCAGACATTTATTGAGCACCTATCAAGTGCAAGGCACTGTGCTAGGTGCCATGGAAAATACAAAGTGAACACTGAAGTCCCTGCCCACGAGGAGCTCACAGTCTAGAGAGAGGCAAGACATAGTAACAGTACATAACCACACAATCAGCTGCAGTGACACCAGCCAGGGCAGCAAATGCCAGAAGCAAAACACAAAAGTGCTGTGGGGCTATAGAACACCATGGGGCTGCTTCTGGTCAGAGCACAGGGCAAGGGCAGACTGAGGACTCCCTGCTAGTTCTCTGAAAAGGGCATTTCTAACAGAGAAGGAATATATAGGTAGACAGGGGCCCACAGGTATGGATCGAGCATGAAGAGGAAACAGAGCAAACAATGAAGGATAGACAGCCATGGACAGTCCAGAGAGCCTGAACTTGCTGCTCTGGTCCCATAGCCACTGGAGATCACATAAGAGGAAGAGGGTAACCTGGAATGGGAAGATAGAGAGAACCTTCCAAGGGTAGATGGGCAAGGAGCAGGATAACAGAGGCAGGCTGTAAGTCTGAGGAGGGTTCTTCAAAACTAGCAACAAGTTTACACAGCACCTCAAAGAGGCCAGTGGGGAGAGCAAAGAGTGCTGACCCCCACCTGAGCATAGAACTTCTCAAATATGGCCTGTGGACCATCTACCTGTGGGTCACCCGGGGAGCATGGAGGTGGTAGATCTCCAGGCTTTAAGAGCCACCTTGAATCCTGTGGGTGGCCAAAGTTTAGGGACTACCTATTGAGAAAGAAAGTGTTAGGGACTAACCTTCAGGAAAAAGGAAAAAAAAAATAGGGAAGAAAGATGGGGAGAGTAAGGTCAATGGCATGGAACTTTGGCTGTTGAGTATGCACACTGAGAAGAAGCCACCAATCTTGGTCATTGGCTATACTACTTGCATGTGGTGGGGAGAAAGCCTAGTTTGCAAACTGAGAGCAGGGAGTCAGGGTAAGTACCAGCAATGAACAGACATGATCATGGGGGAGGAGGTCAGCTTATTATTTTATCAAAAGGATCAGAAACCTATGCGCAGTGAGGGGGAGGTAACTAATGAAAATATGGAAGAGATGGGACAAAGAGGGAGGGCAAGGGAGAAGAGAGGGGAGAGGAAGGGGGAGGAAGAAGGAGAGGAAGAGAGGAGGAGAGGAAGAGAAGAGAAGACGGAGGAGAGAGGGCTCAGGGATACTGCAGGAAAGACAAACAAGAAGGAAGCTGAACTGAGGAGATGGAGACAGAGGTGTGGAGGTGGGCTAAGGCGAATCTGATGCAGTGGGCCCAGGGTTGGCAGCAGCTGCCCCAAGGGGTTGGGGCAGGAGTAGGCTGAGGAATAGCAGAGGACTTGGAATTCCCTGTGTCAATCCTGGAGTTCTTCACATTACACAAGAAACACAGCAAGTTTACATAAGTATAACTCGCACCAACACCATAGGCCCTGACAGCCAAGCCTATTAACAATGCTACCCATCACCCAAAAAAGTAGAAGCATCTTCTAACTGTTCTAACTGGGAGCCTCTAGGGTCTCAAACACAGGTTACTAGATGGATGAAACAAGACTTTAACTTCTAGAGGGGCAGCCTGGGGTCTCAGGAAATCCAGCTCACTTGTCCTCTGACCTGGACAAACCTGCGAGCAGTACCTTGTCAGCTGAGGGAATGTGACACTTTCTGCCTCAACAACCACCCCTCACAAGTATCATGACACAAAGGAGGCAAAGCTATGCTTTGAAACTCCTAAACCGGGAGTTCCAACACAAGGCAGAGTTATAGCCAACTTCCCAAGGACAGCCACACATGGAGGCTAACAATCTACATACATCTAGTAGAGGACAGGAGGTAGCTGGAGACAAATCACAAATTATCTGTAATGGTTGGGCAACTGGAGTTTTAAACTCACAGGCTAACTGAACAGATTTCAAAAAGATGGTGAATTATGTTTCATGGTATAATTTACAAAGTAATTAATGGTTCTTGTTCTCTCACTTTCTGTTCTCCCCTCCCATGAGGAGAAAGGAGGAGACTATCTTTCAGGAACAATATAAGAAGACAGGCTTATAGAATTCTAAAGCCATGTTCAAAGTATTTCCAGAACCTTGAAAATTCCTGACTACCCTGGCAATAGGAGAAAAATAATTTCCTCTCAGACTCCAGACAACTACTGGGCTGAATCTGAGACAGGAGGGGAGTCCTTGTGAGACAGCCTTCTCACCTCTGCCTCATGTGCACTTGGACAACAACCAGCTGTGAAGCTGAGCACAGGGTGCTGAGACTTGGCCACCTCTGTGGCTTGCCTTAAGTTTTCTGTGGAAGCTCCTACTTCCACAGCTGTCCAGGCTGGCAACCTACCCCAAAGAGATAGCTGATTACCAGTCCCATAGTAGAATGTCATCACAACACTTAGGGAAAAGGATTGAAATACAAGCCTGGGTACCTGGAGGGCTCTAGATTCCTCTAGATTTACCATTCCAATGTAGACATCAAGCAAAATCAAGAAGACACATGCCTAGTGGGACCATTCTGGGGGTGCCATCCAGTCCCTGCACCACGAAAAACAAATTGACACTGACTCTTCAGTTACTATTCTGGGGAGACAGGAGAGACATGATCCACAGGGCAGATGTAAGACTGTGAACAACTTGGGAGGGCACAGGCATAAAATACAAAGCCCTTTGAAGGTCCAGATAAGAATATTCTAAGAATCACCAGGAAAAGGATTTCACTGACACAGAATTAGAGCAACACTGAATAAAGACAATACTAAGAATTAGATCTGAGAAAGATTTACAGAAGAGCTGCTTAGGAAACTCCTAGGAGACAAACAGGAAAACAAAGGGGCTCCAGGACCCCACTCTACCCCACAGAAGCTACTAATGCTATTTATTGGCTTGGGTCACTAGAGAATAGAAAAAGGCTGGTTTTTGTTTTGTTTTTGTTTTTGGCAAAGCAGTACAAATTCTACATCAGGGCATCTCCCATAGCTATAGGCTGTGGAAATAAGCTCATCACAACAAAGGAACTCTTCACAAAACTCACACCTTGTCTCAGCCTACTGAGGCAGAATCTGGTCAGGTGCCCAGGGACCCAACCTAGTCAGTGCATGAAGCACAGGGTGTACAGTCTGGTCTGCCCGGCTACTACCTGCAGGCATGTCTGTACAGTGAGCACTCTGGGTTCTGACTGGGTTCTGGCTGGGTTCTGACCTCTTTTGCAGTGTGGAAAGGGAGGAACAGGACTCTTAGGATCTCTAGAACTTCTTTCTAGCCCTGGCCATCTGGGTCTAACTTTGTCCTGGTCATTACCAATGACTAGGCACAAAGTGCCATCTAGTGGCTCTTATTGTCCACTCTTAAATGGCTCCAACAAAAGACCCCCATTGGAACAAACTGATCCCAAACCAGGGAGGGAGAGGATGTGAGAGAGGAGCAAACTTCCTGTTAGTGGACAGGACATATTCATCTCAAGAAAATATACTTTAAGAGGTCTTGCTTTCCTTAAGAAAATGACTCTTTAATTATTATTTTAGAAAGGCTAACCATATCCATTTATCAATATCTTCAGCTTTAAGGAAAATAGTTTAAAAAACATAAAAATGTAAATACACTCAAGAGTAACTGCTATTAAACAGCTCTGAACAGGCAGAAAATGTAGACTTTCCTTTTACAGAAAATGTTAAATCTGTAATAGCAGCATAATGTATATATAGAAAAAAGCTGGCTTTGAAAACCCAGATTTTTGTATACAACAAAAACATTTTTCTTTTCTCTGTACAATATAACAATGTTCACACTGGAGAAAAGGTTTCTTCACATTATTTTTCCCATTGCAGACAGCAGTCAGCTCGAGTGTGATCAGTGGGCCCTGAGCTCAAGCTTTGTAGCATAACCTTCAGTCCAACACCATGGCAGAGAGGGCATTCAGATCTTTCATGTATGGATGGGCCATCAAGATCTGGTCGATTTTCAGTCTCTGCTCAGAGTCGGGGAAGATCTTTAGCAGGGCCTCCCTCAATTCACTGGTTTCCGCAGAAGACCTCTGTGCTGGCATGGGCAGATTGTGTTGCACAGCAGGAAGGTTTGGTAGGAGGGGGAAGTGGGATTGCTGAGGGAGCCAGGGGCTGGAAGAGGCTCCCTGAATCCGGGGCAGAGGCTGGTGGCTGGTGCTGGCTACCTGGGTACCAGAGACCCTGAAACTGGGGTCAAACATGCCCACACTGGGCAGAGCACTGAACAGCGGCTGCATGTCTCTGTGGGTGAAGAAAGTTGGTAAGCTGGGTTATAAAACAAGAACCCCTTTAAAGCATATGCAGCTCAATATGCTGCTTCTAAAGACAAGATGCTAGCTTGTCATGGAAGTGTGGTGTCAGCACATACACAAGCCTGCTGACACCATCTCTAGATGAGTCAGAATAGGGATCCAGCACTTTGTGAGCTGTCATTACCTTCCCAGGTCAGCCCCATTCACCTGTTTGGGCTCTAAACCAGGGTATGTTTTAAAAGACATGAAACAGCCAGGTGCCAGTAACTCACGCCTGTAATCCTAACTACTCAGGAGGCTGAGAACTACACAGTTTGAAGCCAGCCCAGACAGAAAAATCCCCATAAGACTCATCTCCAATTAACCACTCAAAAAACTGGAAGTGGTGTTACGGCTCAAGTGGTAGAGCATTAGCCTTGAGTACAAAGAGGCTTAAGGACAGGTCCAGGCCCTGAGTTCAAGCCCCACAATCAACAAAAAAGAAAAAAAAAAAAAAAAAGAAAACGGGAACAATCTGGGGATCCTGGCTCCGGAGTAGGGCCCTCGCTGACAGGAATTAGAGGGGCCTCCTTCGGACAGAGAGCAACCCAGAACAGGCTCATAGGATGACAAAGAACAAAAATTAAGGTATTTACACATAGATAATGAACCTAAGTGGTATTAATAAATGACATCAGTATGGGAAATCTGCTTTGTGAATTAAATAAGGCCCACAACTGAAGATTGCCACCCTCTTGGGTTATCTGCTTCCATATATACATTGTGTATCAATGAATTTAAGACTTGAAAAAAAAAGACACCATTGTGTCTTTCAACTAACACACAAGAACCTAATTAAGATAATTTACATATAAATTAATCTGAAGAAATACCTTGAAAAGACATCCTTCCGAAGAAATTCTTCTAGTCGAGGTCCACTTCTTCCCAAAGGATCATCAGGAACCATAAATATGTCCCCCACAAATGTATATTGAAGCAATCTACAATAGAGAAAAATGCTAACTCTCTACTGCTACACAAATGCTAGTGAGGTCTTAAGCAGCAACTCCATTCCAACGTGATAATCAGCCTATAAATCCTAAATTGCCAAATGGGGAACAAAAGCTAGTACAACCATTTTAATTTCTCTATTCTGGACACAACTATAGTACTTCAGGAAACCTGCTGGTGGGCATCCCATTTCTCAAACAAGACTTTGATATACTTCTCTCCTCTTGTGAAGCAGCACTTGTTCTAATGGATAAAAACAAAACTAAAGATGTTCTTCTAGGAGTTCCAGTGGCGCAATCGGTTAAGCACGCAGTACTTATAAGATGTTCAGCTAGAATTCAGCAGTTGTCCAATGAAGGTTTAATTTTCAGACGAACCTAAAAATATATTTCCCCAAGGAGGGGGAATATATATACTGAGATCAGTGAAAAAATAATTATGAAGTATGGCATGTAGTTCATATCTCCTGGGTTCAATCTCAAGCACCATGCAAAAATCAAAACAAGGCTGGGAATGTGGCCCAGTGGTAGAGTGCTTGCCTAGCATGCATGAAGCCCTGGGTTTGATTCTTCAGTACCACATAAACAGAAAAGGCCAGAAGTGGCGCTGTGGCTCAAGTGGTAGAGTACTACTAGTCTCCTTGAGTAAAAAGAAGCTCAGGGACAGTGTCCAGGCCCTGAGTCCAAGCCCCAGGACTGGCAAAACAAACAAAAACAAAAATAAAAATAAAAAATAGCTGAGTGCCAGTGGCATATACATATAATCCTAGCTGCTCAGGAGGCTGAGATCCAGAGAATCACAACTGAGATCAACCCAAGCAGAAAAAGTACATGAAACTCCATCTACAATCCTTCTTTGCAAGGGTTGGAATCAAAGAAAGAAGAAAAAAATTCTAGTACCTGTGTTGGCTGTCCAAATCTAGCTTTCTGCTTTCTCAATGAAGTGGGTTGGCTTGAGTCTCAATGCAGTAAAAGTTTTCTGCATATGCATAGATAAGACCTCTGTGTATGATAGATAAGAATCTAATAAAGACTGACAAATAAGCTGAGGGGCAGAGACATAACAGATGTTTCTGACCGAATGTCTCAGAAACCATGCTGAAAGACCAACTCTCACCTGTAACTTTTTAGTAACACAAGGGTCATTCACAGACAAGCTGTTTCTAAAATGCTATAATGATTCAGTAAACTATAAACGCCAGACAAAGGGCAACTGTGAAACCTCATCTGAGATAAATGTCTAGTGGTTCTAGTTACAGACTTGTTAGACACATATTGGGTACCAGTATATCATTTCATGTTTTAAGATCTGTGGCACATGACTTGTCTCCAGTTCTTGCCTTGTTTTTTTTTGTGGTAGGTGCTTCCTGATCAGGTATGCTGCTCCTGAGGAAGTCCTGGAAGACGGGGTTTTTACTGTTTCCCAGACTGGATACATTCATAAAACCACAAATAAAAAGGGAATGCCAATGAATTGCTTTTCTTTTTCCTTTTTTTGTTTTGTTTTGGTTTTGCTGTTGGTCCTGGGACTTGAATTCAGGGCTTAGGCAATGTCTGTGAGCTTCTTTGCTCAAAGTTAGTACTCTACCTCTTGAACCACAGTGCTACTTCCAGCTTTTTCTGAGTAGTCTGTTGGAGATAGAGTCTCATAGACTGCCCAGGCTGAAACCAAGATCCTCAGATCTCCACCCCCAGAGTAGCTTAGATTGCAGGTGTGAGCATGTAGATGACATCTAAGCCTATTCTCAATATAGGCAATAAATTGTAAGTTTTAAAAGGTCATGAATGGGAAGTGGTGCTATGCCTCAAGTGGTAGAGGGCTAGCCTTGGATTCCTCAGTACCAAATAAACAGAAAAAAACAGATGTATTGCTGTGGCTCAAGTGGTAGAGTGCTAGCCTTGAGCTAAAGAGCTGAAGGACAGTGCTCAGGCCCAGAGTTCAGGCCCCATGACCGACAAAAAAAAAGTCATGAAGGAAGTGATGACATTGATTAAGAAGCAATGTACTCTTGGGACTGAGAAGGTGGCTCAGTGGTAGAGCGCTTGCCTTGCATGCATGAGGCCCTGGGTTCGATTCCTCAGCACCACATAAGCAGAAAAAAAAAAAAGCCGGAAGTGGTGCTATTGCTCAAGTGGTAGCGTGCTAGCCTTGAGCTGAAGAGCTGAGGAACAGCGCCCAGGCCCAGAGTTTAGGCCCCATGACTGGAAACCCCCCCAAAAAAAAAGAAAAAAAAAAGAAGCAATGTACTCATAATCTGACTTATGGAATTGTAACCCCTTTGTATATCTACTTAATAATAACAACAGTAAGTCATGAAAAGTATCATGTATTAAAAGTGTAACTTTTTTTTAGCACTCCAAAAATCTGAACCCCCCCAGTCAGAATATTATCTCTGTTTTCCCCCTCTTGCTACTAACAGTGTTCCAGTGTTCCATCTAACGTAGTGGTGGGCACACAAGCCTACCCACGCCACTCATTGGCTCTCCTGCTTTGTGCAGGTTCCTCCTAGCAGAGACAAATTGCCTAGAGACTGGGTATATAGCAGTCTTTTATAAGAACAGATGAAAACAAACAAAAAAAGTTTTTTAAAAAAGAAAGAAAACTTTCTAACCAAAGATGAAGTGAGTATTACCTTTTTGTAATAATTTCTCGCCAGGAGACTGACTCAGTCACAAATTCTCTGAAGTTATCATTTGTTACAATTATGCCACCAGTTTTGTCCGCTAAGTGTAGTAAAAACCTATGGCAATAAAAGAATTGAAAATGAGCAAGCAAGTATTTCTAGCTTATTAGAGTGTGCTACAAGAAAATAAAAGCATTTCTTTTTAGGAAAATCACTAAGAATTTAGACAAAGCCAGACAGAAGTAAAACTCTTGTCAACCACAGATAAACTAGAAATAATAGACACATCACTAAAATTATTAGTATAATGATAAAATAACTGTTTTCATACAGCTTAATTTTCTAAAATGAGTTTACCTACAATACATACTTTTTTCCTAGAAATAGTAATAACTGAGTGAGATGACCAGAGCAGAGATGGAGAAGAGGTGACACGATTTAAATAATGGCCAGTTGTTTGTTAGCTGCTCAGTGACCATATTGTGGTGCAAGAGTAGCTGCTTGGTAGTCAGCTTTGCAACTCTGCTTGTGTTTTTAATTTATAAGCTCATGTTTTCTCTCATTTAAGAAGAAATGCCTAAATTACAGATTCATTCAAATGAGGTTAAGAAAGGATACATGGTAACAAAAAATAAGAACAGCTGGGCATTGATGGTTAATGACTATAATTCTAGCTACTTAAGAGGGTGAGATCTGAGAATCATGGTACCAAGCCAGCCTCGGCAGGAAAGTCTGTAAGACTCTTATCTCCAATAATCACTAGAAAACTGGAAGTGGTGCTATAGCTCAAATGGTAGAGTGCTGCTAGCTTTGAACAAAAGAGCTCAGGGATAGTGCCCAGGCCCTGAGTTCAAGCCCCACAACCAGTAACAACAACAACAAAAAAATAAAGACAAATTTGTTTCACTGCAGGCAGTTATTCCTATTCAAGCCATCTTAATAAGAGGGTAAAATAATGAGGATAAAAATGAATTCTAGGGGCTGGGAAGTTGGCTCAGTGGTAGAGCGCTTGCCTTGCATGCCTGAGGCCCTGGGTTCAATTCCTCAGCACCACATAAGCAAAAAGAAAAAAGCCG